AGGCTAAGTCACCTGCCCTCTAGTCCCAGTAGAGCATGATGGGCCAGTAAGAAAGACATAATGCTTTGCAATGACAACAACTTAGTATTTTGCAATGACAGTCTCCCTTGAGCTTCTTCCAAGATGGAGCATGTAACACTGGAAAAAACCAACCAGCCAACCTCATGGTAGTTTGGCAGGCGGGGAATCATCGAAGGCAATTGACCTGCACAGGTTGGCCCTCCTGTTCTACATCTCCTCATTACATCTGATTGCTTTCTACAAGGTAATCAACAAACACTTTTCTGCTGCTTTGGCCCATTTTCCCTGCCAGGCAGTCAGGGAAAAGGCCTGGCTGCAGAGTGAAGAACCCCAGGTCCTGGAGCGCCCCCGTGTGGCTGCATTTAGCCGGAAACGTGCGTCCCTGATTGTAAATCACACACAGATGAGGCCCTTCCATTGCACGCCTTTCCAGAAATGCAGGTGGGGGCTATTTTACCAAGAAGTGCTCATCTGAAAAAACAGAAACGACAACAAAAAATCCATACAGGTACATACCCGTTCCTCTCCGCCACCCGCCCACACCCCTGATGAAATGTAACAAAGGAAGCAGTGACATTCAGTTAGGGACATACAGCTTTAAGTTACACATTGTGTTCAGAAAGCATTTGATAAACTGAAACGTGTGCTAACCTAAGGCGTTATTATTATTATCCTTACTTCTGTGAAATTAGGGATAGCTACTTCTGCTCTGGCAAATTAAAGGGCCAGGGGAGGGAGAGGTGGTATGTGTGCCTTTCCAGAAGAGGGCAACAGAGCCTGAAGAGTTAAACTCCCAGAAAACCAATTTATGCAAAGGGCTGGATCCTGACCAGCACTCAGGCCTGCGCTAAAGATCTGAATTACAAATTTATAGAATTTGCTGTTCAGTAAGTAATTTCTTTTCTTCCTAATGGAGACTGTAATTTCCAGAGGGGCAGTGCCACTTTATTTTCACTGATAGAGTGAACAAAATCTTGACCACGGAGAAGACGCATTCTACTCACCGTGCAAAATCGCCTTTTTAAAAGGCTTAAAGAGGGACATTCAGAGGATGGTTAAAACCAACCCCTGTTGCAAAGCTCATTCCCTGGTTTTCCCTGTGTTTGCACCTTGGGTAAGTGAATAGTTGGAAACATTTTCCTTTCCTTCCTTTTAAGGTAGGTAGTGTAGCTGATTTTATTTTTTTAAGGCATAGATCCACCTGGGACGATCGGACATAAGAAATGACATTGTCAGATCCAGGTGGCAGAAATCTGCTCCCTTCTAGGCACTTTGAGAAGGAGCCAGTGGGACACACATCCTCATCTCTTGGAATCTAATTTAGTGGGACTCCAGGGCTTCTGGACTGTTTGCAAACACACAAGGACAATCCAGCCAGTGTGTGTCCGTGCGCGTGTGTGTGTGTGTGTGTGTGTGTGTGTGAGAGAGAGAGGGAGGGAGAGAGAGAGAGAGAGAGAGAGAGAGAGACGGGGAGAGAGAGAGAGAGAGAATGTGTTTAAATCCCCGATAATTTGTTTAAAGAGCAAGTGGCAAGGGGGGGGGTACGACAAAAACACAAAAATTTCACTTTCTTTCCTTTTTCCTTCCCTTTTTGGCATCTGTTTTGGTACGTGCCTCCCTCCCCAGGATGATGAATTCAAGAGGAACCTCACGGGCTGCTGGGAACAACTGCTCTTTTGAATGGATTCATTTATGGATATCAGTCAAAAAGTCACCGTCAGCTGGACTGCAATGCAGTGTTGTGTGTGTGCATGTGTGTGTGTGTGTGTGTGTGCGTGTATGTGTGTGTCCGTGTGCCCGTGCACAGTGGCAGCCATTTCAGCTCAAAACCTCCATTCTTGGAAAGGCCACTTCTTCTTGACATGGGAGAAGACACACTTCCCTGTGCACCTAAAAATAAATAAGTAAATGAGTAAGTAAATAAATTAATCATCATAATAAAAGGCACCTTTGCCTCTTCCCCCCAGGTCTTAATTTCTCTTTCAGGGCATTTTGTAATGTTTTGCTGGGTATGAGTTTTGCTTTGCCTTTCCCCCCATTGTTTGTTCTGGGTGGCATTTCTGGGAATCCGTGTCCTTAGGGCTTTCCTGGGCTCACTTGGTGAGTTTCGGCTCTTTTTCTCTCTAGTTCAGCATGAGGCATGGAAATTAGTCATTTACTGTTAAATGCATCAGGAATGGGATCTCAACTCAAAACAACAACAAATGCACACAAAACACAAAAGTGGGGTTTTAACGTGCTTTTCTTAAGCTACAACTGGATTTAGAGTTCCCCTAATAAGTCAATTTTTTAGTTTGCTCTGGCTTTTCTTGCCTTTAAAGAAGAACTAAGCAATTTCATTAAAAGATTGTTCTCTTTTTTTGGCCCAGGAGCATAGGAAATCAGTTATAAAAACTGTTGGCATGCTTTGCAAAGAGATTCTCTGCAAAGAACCTTTTTGTTTTGTTGGGGGTGGGGGCCTCGGGAGGGCTCCATCTGCAGTAGTGACTCTGGCCTGAGCTTCTCAGTCCCTTGGTCTGTTTCTCCCCCTCCTGCCTGGGGGCACTTCTCATCTGGGCAAAGAGCCCTGTGCCCAGTGAGGTGAAACTTGCAAATGATACTGTCACCTTCCTCAATGGACTGCAGCCCTGGAGTTCACCAAAGGTCGCAGCAGGCAACCCCCTGTGGTGTTTGGAGACAAAGGAGTAGTAGCTGCCTGGTTTCCTTGAATCATCCCGCGTGCTCTAATGACGGCAACGGTGGAGGGAAAGTCACCCACCAGGAAGGCCTTCCCTGAAGGCATTTTTCCTGCACGGCGCCAGGTTAAACATTCTGATGTGAAACGGCATGAGACAGTTCCCAACTGGTGAGGCACAGACACGAGTAATCTCCAGGTGTGGTCAGGAGGTCTGAAGGAGCTAACCCAGCTGCCGTGAGGAAAAGACCTTTGCCCCTTCATGTGAAAACGTAGAATTCAGCCAGTCCAAGCAGGGAGCCGGCAGGCCCCCAGCAGCAAAGGACCCTCTCTCGGCTTCAGTCTGGGATTTTAGAGACACCACTTGTTTCTGAACACACTTTCCAATGCCTATTTGCTGAAGCCCACGGTATAATTTGCGTAAGAGGCAAACTTGTCCCTAAACTCTAGGTCCATGTCAGGAGAATATTTCAGTGTTTATTTCCAATCAATGTGTGATGATTTGTGTATGTGATAGATTTGTGTGAGCCCATAAGCGGATCTGCATTAGTTATGTGTTTATTTGTATGTGCGTGAATATGAGCATGTGCATGATCTATTCCTGTATGTGACATGTAAGTATGCATGTGTGCATGTGTATGCAAATGTGGGTATCAATACGTGTCGGAACACATATGTGTTTCTCTGTGGTGGACGCCGCCAATGCACACATCCCCCAGCTGTTTAAGGATCGCGGCTTCTCAGCTCAATGGAAGCAGTTCGCCCATCCCACCAGCTCCCAGGGCAGCCCAGGACTCACCACCGAGAGAGGTTCAAAGGCCGGCCCCCTTGCCTCAAGAATGACCAACTGCCTGGTGCAGTTCATGCTCCAGCTGAGAGCAATCCTTGCCCTACTCCTTCCCTGCCCTCTTCTTTTCTCTTCCTGCCTCTCCCTGGGGGCCCAACTCTCAGCACGTCCCATGCATCTGAATCCCTGCCCCGGGCTCTGCTCCAGGCAACCTGGCCTAAGACAGCGTTTTTATATATGTGCATGTGTGTGTATGCAAATACACATGTGCACACATGTGTGTCTGCATGTGCCCACATACAAGGACATCCAGGAGGATTTGGGAGAAAATTATCCTTCAAAGAAGATAATAGAAGAGTATGGATTTTATATTCTGGAACTTAAACCCGTCTAGACATGCAGTAGGAGAGACCTGCTTTAAAAGTTGAAAATTAAAAGATACTTTAGAAGTAAATGTATTTTTTTTATTGAATCAGAAAAAAGAAAGATACAGTATACATGACTATCAGCCAATCATATGCTACTTTGAATTACATTTTAATAGACTCAGGGTCCTATGTATTCCTCTGTACAAGTATTAAAAAAACTCAGGTATTTGCATAATCTGTAAATTTTTATTAACTGAGGTTATGGGAAGGGTTTTATCAGAGCACATCCTGAGAACATTAGGAAATTACAGACACATCTGAAGCAAGTGTCAGACGGAACAGATGAAGCAAGCCCCTCAGCCATCTGAGAAACATTAATAATGTAAGATTGCAGAGACCAAATCTTTGTTAGGGATACGGGATGCGGGACAAAAAGGGAGGCCGTAGCGCCCCCTCGTGTTGTAAAATAAACTTGCAACTTCATTTATTTGCATTATTTTTTTTTTTCCGAGTTGTAATCCTTGTCCTTGTCACTGAGCCTCAAAAGCCATTGTTTTTCCAAATCATTTTAAGCCCTCTCCAGTCAATCTTTTCCCTCTCATCAATAAATTTCAAGGACTTTATTTGAAAAACAACTCTTATTCTTTCCTTTTTTCATGCCCCACACACTCCATTCCAGGAAATTGGCAACCACCCAACGCAGCAGCCCGGGTTCTCCCTCCTTGAAATGCGAACTTAAACAAACAGATTTTCCTCTCCCTTTTTCAAGCTTACAGGATGAGCACTTACTTACTGCAAAGCTTGATTCCCTCTAGCAGGCATTTTTTCTTCGCAACTTACTTCTCACTGACATTTTTCATAACGTAACCTGAATGCATTCCTCCACACTTTCCCTTCCCTGCTTGGCAGTCATCAACTCTTCTGACCTAACTAGTTAACTTGCTAAACCACCTTTACAGTTATTTACCCGAAAAGACTGGACCAGAGACATAAATAATACACCTCAGTATATAACAGCCTGGGCTTAATTTGTATGCAGAATTTCATGTCACGGCTATCAGAATATATACATGGAGTGTTTGGGGAGGAGGTGGGGTAAGGAGGAAACATCTTGGTGGCAGGAGAACCCGGTGGGAACTGTGGCGATTGTTTACTTGGATTTGCCAACTGGTCCGATGGCTACTGGGTCTGTTTGCACTTGTGCGTCCAACATCCGCTTTGGTCCCTGGAGAAAAACATAGAGAAGTGGTAGCCTGTTGAAGATCTGTAATATCAACAGCAACAGTGGCCAATTATGGCATTTACTCTGTGCTAGGTGTTGCGGTAAATATTAATACAGGTATCTTAGCCATGAGTGGTGGATACGAGAATGGTCTCCAATCAGATGCTCAGTTATGCTACTTTCTAGCTTTGTGAAATCTTGGACAAATTAGTTAACTCTTTGTGTTTTGCTTTCTTCATCTTTAAAATGGGAATGATAAAACTTATCTCAGAGAGCTGCTCCCGAGATAAAGTGAGTCATGCTTGTCATGCACTTAGAGCGGAACCTGGGGTGTAGAACCCCCCCGCCATTCTACCGCCCATCTGCTCCCCCTCCCCAGTCACCGTCTGGCTACATCACCCTGTTTTATTTTCTCACAAAACGTATCACTTTCTGAAGGGACTGTAGCACCTATTTTACTTGTCTAGCATCTGTCTCCGCCGCCAGAACGTAAGCTCCGTGAGTTCTGTCTCAGTGCCCTGCGGGTGCCTGGCGCCTAGTGGGTACGCCTTCATATTGACTGAGCGTGGGGAAGGAATGCTGCGACGTAGGTACTATTATTATCGTTCCACTTTTTCTGTCAAATGTCACTGATAAAAAGCAAAATTAACCCTACCTGTATATAGTTCTATGAGGTTAGACCGACACATGTAACCACCGCCAAAACTGACGTATCGAATGCTTCTATCACCTCCCAACCCCTCCTGTGCCCCTCTGTAGTCAACACCTCCCCACCCCAGACCCCAGCAACTGCTGATCTGGTCTCCATCCCTAGAGTTTTGCTTTTTCCAGGATGCCATATCAGTATCATATGGAATCAGAGAGTATGTAGCCTCTCAGCCTAGCTTCTTTCACATGGCAGAGTGGATTGGAGATTCGTCCATGTTGCTGCATGGATCAGAGGTCCTATTTTTTTTGGCCCCTTTTACAGTAGAGGGTAGTAGAATATAAGATTGTATCTCATACACTAAGGTATATACATATATATAGTACAGAGTAGTACAACAGAGTGTATATATAGTATAGTACATATTGGTAGTATAGTGTAGTATATGACAGTATAATATATGATAGTATATATTTTATAGTATACATAGTATATATCTAATACAGTCAATATAGTAAATATATCACAGTTTAGTACAGCATAGAATATAGTACCTTAAATATAGTATCATATAGTATAGCATAATATATACTATAATATAATATGGCATAT